CTCCTGTCGTAAAACTTCATTAGATTTTCGAGAAAACACAGCTTTATTCAGGTGGGATTTAGCGTAACTGGTGTAAATGTTCCTTCTTAGGACTCACATAATTTTTACAAGGTTACACTTAATTTCACTATGGTTTTCAGCAGTAGTTTTCACTCTTAAAATATTGTTTACAATAACCTCTGTATTTTGTTGATTTTATTCAAAAGGAATTTAGCGTGACTGGGGTAAATGTTCCTCCTTAGGGCTCACATAATTTTTACAAGGTTACACTGAAATTCACTATGATTCTCAATAAAACTGTTTACTTGTAGAGGTGTTGTTTACAATGTTTTTGTTATTTTGTAGGTTAAAACTGATGTCGGATGTCATTTAATTTCATGAATTATGCCTGTCGCATTTCGAGATGTCTATCTTTGTTCGATAAGTGATTCTTAGGTAATACCTCTCTCTCTCTGCTTGACGGAGGACAAGGGACGTCATATGTCTGATTTCGATTCATACGCCAGTGATTCATGAACTAAGGAGTGCTCGTTTAAGCGGTGGTTGCTTTTCATGGGCATATTTTTGGGTTTTCTTATTGGTCGAGCAGTGTTAACAGAGCTGTCAGCCTGAATGCGAATGGTCGTATTCTAGTAGTTGAAGGAGGTCATTGGTCGCACAGTATAACCAACAATAATTTCTAGAGATCGGACAGTGGCGATTGGTTTAAATGGATTTTCTTTGAAATGATTCTGCGCAGTCGAGGTTTTATGCTAGGGGGGCGAAGAACGGCGTAATTTGTAACACGTGGCAGCTTCGTCTTTCTTTTCCAACAAGGAATGTTAATGGAGGTGTTGAACTGAAAATTCGCTAAGAGACTTTTTACTTTTTTATGTGATTTTGTATATCATCCCGCGTGGGGAGTCTAGTAAAAGTGTCTCTATTTTATGGGAAGCATTGATGGTACGTTTTGAAGTTGGTTAACGCGAAGTTAGACCGGTATTTTTTATGTGATTGTGTGCCGGCTTTCCCATCTCATCTTGAGGAGTATTGAATATTGAAGTTCAACCCATCCGTCGTCCTGTAGCAGTTTGATGGTTGGAGACCGATCGTAATTGGGTTATATATTGAAGGGAGAATTGGTCTTTAAGAAGTTCTACGCAGATTTCATTTCCTGTTTGATTCGAAGTTACACCCTCCGGAACAGAGGGTGCTTGGTACCGGTGTTGCTTGGTACCGGTGTTGCTTGGTACGGTTGCTGGGCACAGTGCAGCTGTATGGTAGTGAAGATACTGCCTAATACTAGCGTTTTCCTGACTGGTATTGATTATGTACTTCCTCTTTAACGAAGAACAGCCATTTTGGGGTTCGAACACCTCATCTACTTTTCTAGAACATCAGAGATTTGGTATCATAGGACTACATGCCACAGGCGGTAACGCTAGCCTTGAGTAGCACGGATCAGGAGATAAGTGGAAATTATGCATTTATTTTTCTATCATTTCGGTTATAATTTGGGGTTTATTATTTAGTCTACCACTGATACGTATATGTATACAGTTTTCTTTATGAATTTATTTGATTAAATAACGTTGTGTTCATATGCTATTAAAGGCCCTCATTGCCTATGTTTCATGGTTAGTTCATATATCATAATTCATAGTGTTTTATAATAAGAGTACGTTTCACATTGTTTAGTGAAACAAATACTATTTTAGTTTATAAGTATTTTGGATATGAACTTCTGTAATATACAGAAATTACAGGATTTTTAATATTAAATGAAGTTAACCTTTTCTATGAGTTGCGCTTGATATGTCTTTCGCCTTGGATCCAACGCTAATGACCGTGGGGTATTGAGAAGTAATACTATTGATTTTATTGGGGATTTTAATGGGGTACTGACAAGTAATATTATTGATTTTATTAAGATTCAATGAACTAACCCTGTCTAATTTCTGTACACTGCGCTAAAATATTGTAAATACTGGTATAAATTTGGGGTTATGATTAGCCCTCAGGTATGTAAGTAAAAACCTAGTCTTTCTAGCATATGAATTGTGTTTGAAGTCGCTAATAGCGCACTAATTGTAAAGGGGTCATTAACTAAGGGGAAACTATCTTCCAATTAGGAAATAAACAAGGTTTGAGTTAAGGTTGTCTTTTATTTTCCTATTTATTTGGTAGGTTTAAAAGTAGGACTTTTCTGATTTGTAGTGGCTTGGTATAGTAGATCTACCTGGCGTCCAATTTAACAGAACAGCTAAAATAATTTATTTTTCCCTGATTACGAAGTAATCACCCACTCCCTTCTCCACTTGAGTGAACCGGAGCTACAAGGTTGACATCAGGGACAACTGAACTTAAAGTAACGTTTTGGGGGTTACAGCTTTGTAACTGTTTCCCAGCGCCACTTTAGAAACAGCACTATTCATTAAAACCCAACTGTGAATGGTCGAGTGGGGAATTCTACCAAGACATCAGAATTAATTTTAAATAAATAAATTAAATAAAAAAATCCCTGCCAACGGCGGGATTCGAACCTGGGACCCTTGGATCCGCAGGCAAATACTCTACCACTGAGCCACCCACCTTCGACTTTAATGTTATTTTTAATTTTATAAAAATTATACTCTCCCTAATTCACCCCCTTACGAGTTAATTTTAATCCCAAAAGCTAAGCTTAAACTTAAAGATGATTAATGGTGCCATTTGATTTACAGGTGAGGAAAACCCGGAAAACTTCACCCGCCATAATAATTTAGTTCTTTTAAATGTATTCACCATATATATCGATATCTTTATTCTAATAGGACGTATTATAAAAGATAAATTTTTTTACTGGGGATAAAAAAATAAGTATTTGTTTAACTAGACAGAAAAGTAGCAGATTTACTGCCGCATCTTGCATTACATTGCCGACGCAATGGAACCAGCCAAAGCAGCAAACGACTATTTAGGAAAACCTTGGGCAAGTCTGTATCTAATACATTCCTTAAAATCTTTTGCTACTACACTACATTTCCATTAATCCAATATCATCAAACAAAATAATTGACAAGGTAAAAGTTTGATAAATCAATAAAAATAATTTTGTTTAATTGTAAAATCCTAAAATATGTTAATCTACTTTTGAAAAGACTTTGATTTATTGAATTTTTAATTTACTAAAAATATTACACTTTTAAACAACATAAATACGATACACCACTGATAAATACTAATGTCAAGTAGCCATCTTGGATAACCATTCCGATCAACTAACATTGGAGTAACCATTCTTTCTTATTACTTTATTTTCTGAGAGTTTACCTAACCGGGAACTGATATCGGTAAATATTTAATTTAGTCTTCATAATATAGGTACATACCCAACATAGACACAACTATTTAGTTTCTTGAATCAATTTAGACCATTGCAATATTTATTTTTTTATCGTCCTTTAAAAAAACTTTAAGTTAAAGTTAAAAAAGTACTCAAATCTTGTAATTTTGAGATATGCCTGTTCGTATTATTACCGACATTATGTTTGTTATGTTACACGGCCCGCAACTTTTTCGGGTGCTGTCCTTTTTTAAGTCATCTATTAGTGATCTATCATGTAATAAATAAAACACAAAACTTCATCCAAACGTTTATTTAAAAATTATCGTGATATTTAGCCCAGCGACTGATGAATACTCTTACGCATTTCGCTAAAAATTTTAAAAAATTAGAAATCCGGAGTTATGAAAAATCAACTTCTAATAATAGTGTTTCGGGCCGTAAATAAAAGCTTGGCGGGCCGCAGGTTAAGTATAGTTGCTTTAACTATTTAAATTATATTTGAAGGGTATCGGGAGAAAACCAGAAATGTCAATCCGAAAACTTTTAGAGAAAAGTGAATTTTAAACTTTAATACATGGTAATTATTTTTATGTGTAACAAAAGAAAGTAGTTATTAACATAAATCGACGACACAATATTTTTACGCATCAGATTCTTAGCTTGGTCTTGGTCATTCTACTGCCAGCACGAACTTTTTTCTGAAGTTTTTTAGCTGCAATAGAAAACCAAAATTGGTAAAAAAAAATTCGTCCCGGTTGGTCTCTTAAGCGCTAATTGGTAACCGAGAAGTATAATTAACTTGAATCCATAAAAAAGATGTTTTAGCTTACCTATACCCAGCAAAGTTATTTTATTAGTGCTAGTATTTCCTCGCTTAGATGGTACCGGTTGAGAAGTCTCTTCAGCTATAACCTAGAAAACTAATAAGCATAATTTCATAAAAAAAATTTTTGTAGTTCAAAATGACCTCAATTTTTGAATTGGAAACGGGCACTTCTTCATGTACTTGTCCGCCAAAAAGTCAGTCTACTGCTTAACGTGTGCTTGATTTAATTATATCACACTAAACGGCCCTGGTTTTATCCTAGATGTTATAAGGTTTTGCTCCAAGTCATTAGGACATTCCATTCTTACCTTTGTGTTTATTAATCCCATGTTTTTGTCGCACTCTAAATACGAATGCCCACGGATTGGATAGGTAACCCTCAATAGACTTAAAACGTCTGATAACATTGACTAAATAATGAGTAAAACGTATAAAGGTTATTTTTATTTTGGCCACCAGCTCCGTCACAGAAGATGTGCAAGTTTTCTACTTCATCAGAAAGGCTATTCATAAAAAAATTAAATAGAAATGAACACACATCGGCACCTTTTTTTGCGACATATTCAGGGTAAGTGTAAAAGAAAGACTGAACGTTCGACAGTACATGAATATTAAAAGAAAACATCGATAATTGTGTCTTTTAATACACATCATTAGCTGTAATATTTGGAAGATAAATATTTTTTTGATAATCCATGGCAACGCATTCGAATCTTTTTTCCTTTTGAGATTTTTTCGGGCATTCCTTTTCCTATCATAAAATGTTTAAGCTCTTCTTAAATGCAACTACTTTTTTTCTTTAATTTTTCTATTTCTTCAAGGTTATCATTAATTCTCTCGGCTGCTTTCATTAATACAGCAAACTGATCACATTGACTTCATGTTTCGATCCGGGGATAACCAAAATCCAATGTTAAACTTTTTCTTAAACACTTCTCTATATGTTTCAAAAGATATTTTCTGAGTAGGATTTTTCTCTAAGAACATTCTGTACATTTTTTTATGTTCAGATTTTAAACTATAGTGACTCTGTCTAGTTTGAGAAGATGCAATATGTAATTTAATAGCTGTTGGTAAACTATTATAATTTTTTCCACCACGTTTGTCTTTTGGTGCAACATCCAAATTTTTTATAGAGGTCAATAAGTACTCTAATTTACTTTTAGATATACCATGTGCAGCAATAAAGAACTTAGCACATACTTGGACTTCATCAAAATGATTGTCTTGTTTTATTCTCACCCGATACATGTAACTGCAGTCGTGGTACTTTGCTAAATTTTCTGGAGCTCTTGGCCTACGCCTCTGTACAGTTGTAACCGATACAAATGAGCATAAATAGGAATTTTGTTCGTTGTAAGAACCCAGACTGTTGAAATTATTTAAAATAGCCCTTATAGTGTTTGAACTAATTTTTTCCATGCACTTGACTCTCTTATAATTACAAAACACTCCGAACTCACGCGAATGTAATCGAATATTTTTTAATACCTCGTACATTCTACTAAACTTTGTGTCACCCATTTTAAGTCGAAATAAACACAGCACAACCTATCGTATTGAGTTCAGTTCGACGACTGATATTCGCATAAAACAAAAGAAGCAAAATTAACTAAGATGATGAACATTCCCTGTATACGGCATTTCTAAATACGTTAATATATTGGAACTATCCCTGTTTTCTGCAGAACTGTTTAGGCCAAGTAATAATATGTAATACCATATAACAGGGTAATCTGTATTGGCCAAAAAATTTACATTCCTGGTTTTCTCCCGATACCCTTTATTTGTTAGAGCAGTGGTTCCCAAACTTTTTTTATGATAGCCCCCTTTTGAAATAAAGAAGTGGTCATGCCCCCCTTTTCCCTCCTCCCTACCACCCGATTATAGAAAAGTAACTACTTTTATTACAATAAAACTCATTTATTCAAAAAATAACATTTTTAATCACTTATCTAATCTAATACGAAGGGTGGTGTTGCATTATTTTTATTGCAATTTGTCAAATATTTTTTATTTTTTTAAAGCTAAAAATAACATTTGTAATAATACTTCAGGGCTCCCACGTGCCTCCCTTAATGTTGCTACGTGCCTACTTAGGGGGCGCGTCTCCCAGTTTGGGAACCACTAGGTTAGAGTGATCGAGGAAAGAGAAATGACGTGAGGATGTAATGGAAAGATGTCCACCTCCAAACTAAAATCGACTTGTCCGAGCGTTTTTAACATCTACGATATTAATACCTAAAATCTCAATGTTTGGTTTTTGTTGGGCCACCTTGTATGTCTTGAGCTGGAACAGTTTAGAATAAGCTAGAATTTCTAATAATTTCAAGGTTATTTTTATTATTGGTCCTTGACTCAGAACTTGGTAAAAAAATGTTTAATACGATAATGAGATATAAACTGTCACATTAACTTTCGTGTGTAGTGTGAAATGTGAAATGCTATATACATATTTATTACAAGATAGGTATAATTTTCTCATAAAAAAATATATAAAATAATAGCTTGTCGGAATAAACATTATCTTCGCTATTGAAAGTAGATTTCAACCTACGACATTTTGCTCTATGACGGATTAGACAATTGTTTGTACTTTCGTCGTATTTTCCTGACATTATTGTTCTCAATCTATTCCTGCTCACGTATAACACCGTTACATTTGAAATTGATGCTTCTCGGTGGCCGACACATTAACAATTGATGACACAACTCTGACCTAGGATGAGTGCACAAGCACACTTAACCAATAGTGAATCTTGAATGAACAGCCAACATGCAACGGTCGGAGGCGCAATGACCTCAACAGCCCAGCTGATCTCGCATGATGCTTGAATGTTTTGACTTGAAGCACCTGTGGTCTGATGCTCTTCACTTGGGCGGCGTTGTCGGATTTATAATATATAAGAGAGTTCCTAAATATAAAATTAAATAGTACTTAGATAGTATTTTCCTGAAAAGTCTAAACTAGGGTGAGACAATTAATCTACATCAAGCACCAATGGAACAAAAATATTAGTAGGAATAAAAATATCACAATTATTTATTCTAAAACAAAAGAGTGCAACTAGTTTTGGCCTATGGGGCTATAATCAGGCCAGTAATAAAAACAACTCTGTTAGACAACGTAATAACAAAATTAAAGGCACTTACATAAGAAATCCATTACAAATTAACAGTTGTTTTATAAAATTTCTTCAATAGGGAGTTTTTTGTAAGGATATTGATAACGGTGCTATCTAATTAAAATTGTGGTATTATAAAATTAACATAACTATAGGTAATAGTGAAATAAAAATTATTTCAAGGCAACAAATGGTACATATAAAGTTAGACAATTAAACTGATTACAAGGAAAACCTTTTTTTAAGTAGATTTTTATACTAGTCATTATTGACTAACCTACAATTTCAATCTAAAATCTCAGAAAATAATAACTTACCCAAGAATTCCCCTTTGGGTCTGTCTAAATTAATGCTAAGATATTATTACAAGTAAACTTTAACATTAACGTTAAAGTATACTGCACGAGTTCGAATGATTTCGAATAAGTTTTGCTGAGAGTAGAGTTGTTCAGTTATTGCTAGGATTCTTCATTGATCTAAAAGTAAAGTCGACCTTTATGTTTCGTAGGAAATATCTTTATTTCTGTTTCTAGTATTAGCATGTGCAGATCTCTATAAAGGTAATCGTTTCAATACAACCAAGGTGCATCATCGATGTCTCTTAGGATTTTATTTTAAAAAGTTTGTTGATATTGCTCTTTCTGGCACACCCCATAGCTGTTTGCCTTAATTCTAGACTGGTAGAATCAGTTTATAATAGTTTATTGTACACTGACTGCTTGGATTTTCGTCTTAGGAGCTACTAGATTTTTTTTTAATTTAAGATAACGTTTTTTGTTTTTTTTTTGTGTTAGATACCTAAAGATACCTAAATATACCTAAAGATACCTAAAGATGTCTAAAGATGTCTAAAGATACCTAAAGATACCTAAAGATACCTAAAGATACCTAAAGATACCTAAAGATACCTAAAGATACCTAAAGATACCTAAAGATACCTAAAGATACCTAAAGATACCTAAAGATACCTAAAGATACCTAAAGATACCTAAAGATACCTAAAGATACCTAAAGATACCTAAAGATACCTAAAGATACCTAAAGATACCTAAAGATACCTAAAGATACCTAAAGATACCTAAAGATATCTAAAGATACCTAAAAATACCTAAAGATACCTAAAGATACCTAAAGATACCTAAAGATACCTAAAGATACCTAAAGATACCTAAAGATGCCTAAAGATACCTAAAGATACCTAAAGATACCTAACGATACCTAAAGATACCTATGCATGTGCTGTAATTTTGATTTATTACTCCTTGTCTATTGCGATTCGATTATAGATTATCTTTTCTTATATCTCTCTAAGTATTTAAGTTATCTAGCTACTGTTGCCTATAACTATTTAGTATTCAGTAACAAGGTGATATACTACAGTTTCGACCAAACTTGTCAATTTGATTGGCCTTAGTCAACAAAACACAAAATTTCTAAACTTCTAAACTAAAATAAAGAATAATAAAATGTGACTAGTTTGTGTCATGTACAAACAAATATTTGGTAAGTTAACATTAGCTTCTCTGTGTTTCTTGTCATAGATACTTTTATTATATTCTTGAGATTTAACTATATTTTCAGAAGCGTTTTGTCCAATTAAATTTAAATTTCTATCAACATAATTTTGTGATTCTAAGTAAGTTCGTAAATTATCATAAATGTGTCTTACATAAACACACTTTCCCATGAAAATACACCCTTAAATCTTCGTTAGAGTCATACTTCGCCACAAGTTTTCTAGATTATCTTGGAGAATAAATGTGTCCACGTTGCACAATAATTTTTGTGAGCTTCATACCAATGGAGGGCTGCTCCGATCAATTTATATCTGGCTGTCTCTAGGGTAAACTCTGGAGGCCACCTATGCAAGGTTGCTGTACTCTTCAATGTTTAAGCCAAGTTGTTACGGTTCAAAATCCATATGAATGTACTGGGATGCTTTTGCCACAAAAATAATACATATAGGTAGTATTGACATTTAACTTTTAATTTACTTTAATTTATTATTTAAGTATAATAGAAATAAAATCTATTAAAAGATCACTACGTATAATCCGTTTTGGGTAGAAGTTTAATAGGAGATCCATTTCTCATGTTCTGTGAGTTAACTAGAATGAAAAGATACCTTTTATAAGTCCATTGTCAAATGGGAAATTGTAGAAGTTTGACCTTTTATCAAGTATTTCTTTCTTGTTTTGAAGATTCGTTCTGGTCCTCTGTAGATATATTTTCCAATGTTTTTCTTAATTAGTTTGTAGTTAAGTTCTAGGAGCCCAAAAGGGACAAAGAAACGTTTTGAATTCTATAAATGGTTTCAGGGTTCATTTTCTTTGTTTATTTACATTAATTATGACATTATGTCATTCAAATTTATTCAGGTAATTGTCTAATTCATTACAAATAATTAAAACCCCAAATAATCTGGGTAATTTTGGAATTAGGTAGGTGATTGTGAGAAATTGGCTAATAATATTTTAAATTACCTGTCATATTTTATTATCATTTCCTGTAGAAGTCATTAATTTTGTTGGTGCATATCCTGCTTCCATTTTTCATTCTTCTAGTATCCCTTCATGGAACATGTGTTTTTGAAGATCTTTTTATAAGGATATAAGATACTAGAAACGAAAAGACATTGAAAATTTATTTAGTATTACTATTTGTTGATATACTTAATCTCACAAGAGGATTTTATTTTCAATTAAACAAAAACTTACTTCTTAAAAAGGCCACATTTCACCTCAGGTAAAGTAATTTCTCAATTATCACTTATTTGTCCTTCTTTAATATAAGATTGTATATATAAAGTAGTATTTTGTATTTTAGGCCTTTTTCTTTTCTGGCTATCGTAGTCATAGATAGTTTCATTTCATTTTTCTTGTTCGATTAATTTATATTGGAACAGTTACGTGTAATTCCGGACATCACATTAATTTGAGGTAGTCTCAAGGACAGCTGTATTTGAGAACCTTTCTGCTGGATAGTAGTAAACTATTGAGACATCATTTTCATCCCTTACTTACTGGAGTTACCTAAAAACGAAGAGAAGGACGATATTTTAATTGGAGGTTAAATAAGTGGACCTATTCATACCTTTGAATCCAATAGGCTATTTTGTCAAGTAACCCTTCCAAAGAGGTCTTCGAATTCAACCCTTGCCTAGGTAGGATAGTGTCAATCTCCAAGGTAGGAATTTTCTGATTATACCAACTCAAGTCTATCAGATAGAAGGTGTTATCACACAAAATATCTCCACCCTCAGTGTTTGGGAATATTCTGAAAATTGTATATATTAATAACCAGTTAGTTCAACCTTTTAGTTTGTATATATTAAAATCATTTATTTTGTAAGCCACCCAGAATAGATATCTATTTTAAACGGTACGTAAGCTAAGGACTTACCTATACTACCGAATTATATTGAATTTAATATTTAATAAACACGTTTTAATTATATACCATAACCCTTAAAATTATAAATTATTCTTCTTTTCCATTTGCGGTATCCATCACATAAATTTACCCAGGTAATAATCGATTATATCTCGGTACAATCGCCAAACGGTCCAAACCAAGTCAGTCATTCAGCCAAATTCGAAGATAAAAGGAAAAATCACCTACGACCCTCTCTTTGACTGAGCAGCACAGAACACTCTAGATAATTAATTTTTATATTGTTTTGCTCTTTACGTCATAGCAAAGTTTAACTCTTTGATAAATCGTCACCGCTAAAATTAATATTGGTTTTTGAAAAATTAGGTATCAGATTATAATTTCTTCAATCCTGTTGCATTTGTTGATTTTGTTGATTGGTTGCTAACATTTGAAGGGTACAGGGCTAAAACCAACAGCGTCCAAAAATGATAATTTTCAGGAGAACGAAAACAAAATTTAAAACGACAGAAATCCGACGCTTTTGAAGATTTTCCAGAATAATTATTTTTTTATATTTAGTTCGATATGTACTTTTTTAATAGCTAAAGTAATGTTATGATTGTATTTTTATTTTGTAGTTAGTTATTTTTTATTTAAACAAAATATTGACCAAGTTGGTTTTTCATCTGGACAGAAAAAAACTATATTTTTTAAATTTTTTATTTCACTACATGATAAAGAATATAAAGAACAACATAAAGAATAATATAAAGAACAGAACAATCCGTAAACTAAAGACTGAAATAATCTGATTTCTAAAAATCACTTTGATCATCAGGTACATCATCTGATTCTGTTTCTGGTACAGGCCGGTTAGCAGAGAGAAGTTGGCTGTAGTAATCTTTAGATCCTTCTTTTTCACAGAATTTCATTAGAACTTTTAGATCAGCACACTTTTCTTTGGGCAGAGGTATAGGGCTATGGTAGAGCTGGTTGGGTTCTTGAATATCTGGTACGTTTGATTTTCTCTTCTGGTTTTCCGTTGAACTTTTATCAATGATGACAAGTAACTTCCGTTCCATGAAGGAATTGCCGCGAACTGGGTAAGTGATTGCCATAGTGTCAAATCTTTTTAAATCAGCAGTTACGTAGTGAGGAAACTGGATGATGGTGTGGTTTTTGTTTTGTCCCCAGCACGAATCGGCGAAGACATAAAGTTTCTTAACAGCAGGATCCAGGTAGGTGTTGACAAAATGATAGAGCATTGAGGCAACATCATCAGACCCTTTCTTTGCGACTGTTTGGTCGTAAGTGCACATTACTAAAGCACCAATTGATAAAATATGCACATTGAAAATATAGAATGGCATCTGTCTTCTGAAGTACACCTCAGTAGAAGTTATATTCGAAGTAGGGAGATTTTTCCGAAATCTATAGGGATAGCCTCTACAGTTGACGATTTTCTAGCGTCAGTTTTTGCACGCCTTTTCAATTCATAGAACCAATCTGCTCTCTTCAAATGAAGTGTCTTCTCAGTTTCTACCTTTCTACCTTCCTTGTCTAACTTTAGCTTTTTGTCATCACTATTTTCAGTGGCAATTTTCCTATCCAGCTCAGTAATTTTGCGTTTCTGCTCATCGTACCAACAGCACGTTTCGGTTCGTGGATAACCGAATGCGATGTTGAAGTCTGACACAAATATTTGCCTGAATGTTTCATAACACATCTCAATATGGGGCTGTTTAGTCAAAAATAATAAAAGAAGCTTTTTAACATTCATATCTTCGGGGACGTATACTCTGTTAGAGTCCTTCAAGCTGTAGTGCGCTTTACGTCCCTTTAAGGAGCCAAAAAGTGCAATAACAACTCACGGAGTTGTTGAGACATCTTATGAGGTCTATTGGTATGCTTTCCCCTTCCATCATTCGGCGGCGCCAGTTGTTCTTAAAGATGTTTTGATTATGTAATCGAAAGGCTTTAATTCCAAAAAGTAATTGAAATGCTTTAAAACATACTAGCACCTCTTCTGCTCTGCTATTCCTAATAACTCTTACTTTATAGCTGTGGGAGCTTTCATTTAATCAAGCATCTTCTTAATTTTGCCTTGGCCTTCGTCGAAAAACAGGTCGTAATGAGATAAGGCCAGATAAGTAACTATTTTAGGCATCTGGTAAACAAAGGGTTAAAAAAGTCCCCGTCCTTCCACCGAGCTTCTAAAAACAAAAAAACTTCTCAGCTTGTACAAGCCAGGTCCCTTTCAAAGACTTTAAAGACTTCAAAGACATTTTAAGCTTTAAAAAGTCTCAAGGACATTTTGCTTAAAAAAGGGACTCTCCTTTTCAAAAAAGGACAGGTGGCAATCCTAATCCGTAGCTACTGATGAAATACGTAAGTTAAAACTTTAGCGATATGACTAATTCTAGAAATACCAACTGATTTATAAAAACACTTTATGATAATTTATAAATTTGGCAACATTTAAATTTGAACACTATTAATAGGAAATTAAAAGTTACCTACTTATCTAAAATTTAAATAAAGTATTAATAAATACTAATACGTAATGGCAGATCCAATTTACAGCCTAAACATGGAATACAACTAACACCTATATGTCTCTAACATTCTAAATTGGAATGTTGCAATATTATTAACTATAAATTGCGGAACAGGTGTTGTCCATATAAGTAGAACACATATATAGATATAAGATTATGCAAATAGTACAAAAATTATGGCGTTTATTTTTGATTTTTAAAAGTTTAATATCTACATTTAAATCAGTATATCGAGAAAATTAGTCATTAAGTGAAATTAGACGGTGTCGATTATCTATATTATGTCATTTCAAAGAACTAAATTATAAAAAAATTGCTTTTATGACTCTTTTGATAGGCTTGGTCATAGGTAGACACATTAGTATATTGCGAAAATATTCGTGTTTTTAATTATCTTTTAAGATTAATTTCCTTTCTATATGAAATAATCAACACGGAAACTATACCTTGCAATGAGATAAATCAGGTATAATCCGTTTCTCGACAAAGAAGCCAGCTGAAGTTGCAACAATGACAGTCACAGAAACCAAATTATGTCTTGTTTAACTACTTCTCTTAGTATCGATAGGATCACGCCACTGGCGTAAAACGAACATAATTTATGCCGATACCTATATCTAATTGTTAATGTTGACATTGAGATTATGTTTTTGAAATTATTTATTTTTTAAATATTTCTAATTTTCGACTATTTTAAGACGTTTATAGGTGAGTGTTGTGTGTTTTATTTAATTTAAAACCATGTCTCCTGAAAAACTTGTTTGAATAAAAGAAAAAATTATCCACATTCAAGGCCGACAGATTATAAAAAATGTTTTGACTTGTTGAAAAAGCCAAATATATAATTTTTTTCCTATTTTGACATATACAATAACCTCTATTTTCCTTGAGAAAAAATTAGAATAAATTTTGATAAATACAGATATTTATTACTATCTATACATAAAGTTTAACAGACTTCAAAAAAGGAGAAGGTTCTCAATTCGTCGTAATATTTTTTTTATGTATGTTCAGCGATAATTCTTTAAGACGGTGTCCGATTTCAATGATTCTTTTTTGTTAGAAAGGGGATACTTCAAAAGGTGGTCCCATATAAATTTGGTTAAAATCCAATTCCATAAAAAAATCCTCAAACTCTCCATTTTTGTATTTATGTTTAGCTATAATGGGGCATGTTCAAAAATTTTAAAGTTTTTTTATGAATAATACAGTTCAAAATAAAGCTACATAAAATTTTTTTTTTATCTATTTATTTGCCAGAGTTATTAATTTTTTAAAATTTATGACGTCACTGGGAATAGACCAATAGGAACTAGCCACACAACGTTGTCAGTTGGACGGTATACGAAAAGTAATATACGTTCGCATGTGTACACGTCTTACTTTTAGACTTCTAAAATATCGCTAAACAAATATCTTTTAAATATAAAAAAATCAAATGTTTTTAAAAAGTATTATTTGTGTTTAAACTTTCACCATATATATAGTTTCACTGTTTTAAAAAACGACAACCGATAAACAAGAAAATAGCAATACGGCAGCACTGCATGTGTCATCTGTCAATCAAAAAGGTATGTGTTGTCAATCCATAATTGTGCACTTGTGATGTTTTTATAAATATTATGAGTACGAAAAAACTGTTTCCTCCCAAGATGTGATAATGATTTACATTTTACATCCATTATTTTTTAATGTTTATTAGTCTTGCTAGAAAATACCATTACACAGAAATGCTTCAAGCAACAGCTAAATTATTTTGTTGGGGTTTGTATCTATACTCTTTATTAAAATGAAAATGTTTTATTGTGATTTATTAGACTTCAATTATCTACCATTGTAGTAACAATGTGTTTTCTTTTTTTTAGATACCAGATGATTTTAAAAACTGTTTATTTTTTAAATATAAGAAGTGGGTAGTACCACACAAATGGCTTCACAGTTCTTTTTATTCACCACACAAGAGCCAGCTCAGTGATTCTACAAAAAAAAAACAGGTAACATAAAAAAAATGTTGACTGGAAAATAACCTTCTACTAGAGGCGTTTTTCATCTCTATTTAATAAAAATACACCGGATCTTCAAGATGCAGCAGCAATTTCTGACATTGCCCCCTTCGGTTAATTTTAAATGAGCCTACTATAAGTTCGAAGGTGTATGTCCTAAAACCCCGTCCGCAAGAACCTGCCTCGAAACCTCCCGAAAGTTTTAAAGATAGTGAAGTTTTGTCTGAATCGGAAGAAACATCTTTAATTTCTTATTCAGAGGGACTTAATAATAATGAGCAGTATCAAAACCAATGAACTCTCAAAATAATTGAAAATAAACCGAAGGTATATTTAGGATTGCCCAAGAGTGTTTTTAAAATCCTTAATATTTATGAGAAGGAAAGTGTAACTTACATAAACCTTTCTGTGTGAATTAGTGGTATTGTTAACTTAAAAGAACTTATTTTGTAAGACTAAATACCTAATGATTTAATAAACTGTTTGTTTTTTTTTATTAATTTATCACATTCCAGAAATTATAATAATTGTATATAAACAAAAATGTAAAATCTGTGAAAATTATATTTATTAACCTATTATTAAAAAATAAAAGTACCTAAAAAGTAAAAAATACTTTATTTACAAATAACTAAAAATATATACATAAGCCCTAACAGTAATGGAGATGGCAAAGTAAAATGTCCTATAAAGATTCATTATCAAATTCAACTTATTATCGACCTCATTATTTACTTCAAATAAATGTGGAAGAAACAATGCAAAATGCTTTATGTTCATGTGTAATTATTCCGTTTTCTGTGCAAATATCTCCTTTTCTCTGGATATTCATGGAAAATCGCATTATCTCCATATATTTGCTTGGCAGATCTAAAAATAATAAAATATTTAATGATGTGATGATTTTTTTATTATTTTCAAGAGTACAGTTTTATGGGTTCCTATTTTTTTCAGTTTTTATTACTTTTAAATGTTCCAAATTATTTCTTAAAATATGAACATATTTGTGTTTTTATTATTTCAATTTAGCAATATTATCAAAGATTTATTCATGTAAATACTAGACATGTGTATAGTAGTTGTAACAGAGTTTGTATATTTACAAAAAGTAGTCATTCATTCACAAAAATGTACTTATATTACAATTATTTACAAGACATGTAACAAGTAGGTAATCCTGGACCAAATAAAAATAGTATTACAGTAAATACATGTGCACTACCCTTTTGAATAGTTTTAGATGTTATTTAGTTTTAATTTTTGAGGTAGGCAAATTGTATGAACTCGTTTTATACAATAACAAATTTGCTATTTCTCAGGTAATACATAATTATACTTTTACTTCCAATTATAGAAATAATACCAACAGCACAGCTTTAAACGTCGCTCTCTTGCTCAAATTAGAGATTGACCCTTGTTGCTTTAAAGTACATATATATCGTCCCAATTTCTAGTGTTATATTTGTGGATATCAGTGTACGCTAATATAATATAAGAAAAATATATAAGAAAAATATATAAGAAAAATATATAAGAAAAATATATAAGAAAAATATATAAGAAAAATATATAAGAAAAATATATAAGAAAAATATATAAGAAAAATATATAAGAAAAATATATAAGAAAAATATATAAGAAAAATATATAAGAAAAATATATAAGAAAAATATATAAGAAAAATATATAAGAAAAATATACAAGAAACATATATAAAAAAAATATATAAGAAAAATATATAAGAAAAATATATTTTTC